GATTGCATGGTATCTGAAACTCACTCAGTAAAGAAAATACATATAACCTTGAGCCAGAGACTTTACCCAGCAGTGGTACACAGGAGCACTGCTGGCCACATGTTCATCGTGAGGTTAGTGATCTTATTAGATTGTCAAGTGATGTGCATAAATAAGCACAGTATAATTGATGGGGGGCTTAAAGAAAATATTTTGACATAGAACCTTTCCAATAGACAGAACCTCAAGACCAAACAAAAGGGCTCTCTTAAAACCCATACGATGTAGGTTAATATTTTAAAATGTTGCATCCCCAAACAAGGAGTCTAATTAACTTGGGGTCAATAATCTATAATCCTTGTTTTCAGCAGCATTGTTTTCTTTTTACTGTAGAATGAGGTTGTTGACAAAGTTTTAACTAAATTCATAATAATCTGAAATATGTACGGTTAAACACGGATTGGGGAGTAATATTCAGTTAATCTTGGTGACCGTGAGTAAAAGTTATCTACATTTTTTTTTTACAGGTTTACAAGGTAATTTATTTATCAGTATCCAAGACAAGGTTTTATAATGAAAAGAACGTTTGTAGTCCCTTCATGCTACACTCACAGAACTTAACAGATAATTAAATGTGTATGAAAATATGGTAAAATTTTATTAAACGGTTATTGTACACTTACTTTTATAAATATGTAGTAAAACATTAGAAAACAGAAAAGCTGCCACTCTCCCTACATGACAAAATACAATCGTTAATCATTTATGTATTTTCTTAGTTTTTTTTTGAAGACGTTACGAGGGAACATATTTGGTTTAAAACAGGTTTATTATAACCATTTCTCTTGAACGCGTTAGGCAACGCCAACAAAGCTCTTCTCTGCGTCACTGCGTCATTTCCGACGCAGGCGCAAAATACCATTTTCTGTCGCGTGTGCGGCCTCTCTTCCTCCACCGCCATCATGGGTCGCATGCACGCTCCCGGGTGAGCTCTCTTTTTATGATTTAAAGTTAGAATTTTATGTTGGTGGATCGGTTTTGATGGCAACACGTAGCTTGTGAACATGTTATGGTTGGCTGAGGAGCAAATCGAGCTCTTTAATTCAACCTAGAAGCGAGAAAATAACTTAAAACATGCGCACCCTCAAAATCGACACCTATCTCCAGCTAGCTAGCATGGACGTTAGCAGACGGCACCAGTGGCTCGCCACGATTTTCCTGCTTGACTGTAGCGTCCAGGTTAGACAGTTAAATGTTACACATTCACATAGAAATGCAGGATTTTCCGTGCTGTTGACTAAGGAGTTAAACCCTCGTAACGTAAGAGCTTGGCGTTACGTTTTACAACCAGTAACAGCGCTAATACGAGCATGAAGCTAGCGTTAGCCGGCCCATCAACCCTCATTCAACGTTAATGTCAAGATTTGCACGTGCTAGAAATTAGTTGCTTTCATGTAGTGTTTGCTTTCACATTTCTGTCCAACTAAGTCTAATTAGTCGCATATCTTCTTTCTCTTTTACAGAAAGGGCTTGTCCCAGTCAGCTCTGCCTTACAGGCGCAGTGTTCCCACTGTGAGTATACAGAAATGTGTCTCGCACAATGACAGTCGCTTAACTACTTTATGTACCGAGTTGGTAATCATTTAAACATTACTTGCAGTGGCTGAAGCTCACATCTGATGATGTCAAAGAGCAGATCTTCAAGCTGGCCAAAAAGGGTCTGACCCCCTCTCAGATTGGTAAGTTGTTTTATGAGATACTCTGGGTCTAGAAATTAACTTAAGTATTGTGTGTTGTTTTTGCTTAAGCAGAATAGTAAATATAACTACTTAAAACACGCCTATCGTGGACGCCAACTGTACAGGATGCAGTCGTCTCCAGCAGTACATATGGCTGTATAAAATATTTAGTTCGTGTAGCATTGGCTGACTAAGATTTTTTTTTTTTTATTCATACATTGTCACCTGATAAATTGGCCAAAAAAATTACGGTATAATGGTTTTCTTGTAAACAAATTAACCAGAAATTTGACTGTTTAAACACTTGAGCAGTTTTGTGGAAGTATTTTACTAGCTAGCTTTAGTGTTAAAACCCAGTTTAGCAGTGCTGTTTAGACATAACACTGTCTGGTCAGAAATCTGTCCACCAAATGAATAGAAAACAATGGGTGTTTTGCATTAAACATGGGCTGCCTAGCAACATCTTTATTTACTGTTAACGTGTCTACCATTTTTGATTGCTTTTGTATTACTGTATATTGTCTGCTACAGAGAAGGGAGTTAAAAACTTAATTTCACTTTACAACCTGTTGTAATGTGACAAATAAACCTACCTTGTAACATTATTTTAGGCAGAACTTTTTAGTGTTGTGATTTTATACAATTGCAACCTATCAAGGAGTAAAGTTGGGAATCTCTAAGAAACAAACTGAATAAGGTGTGTGTGTGTGTGTGTGTATATATATATATATATATATATATATATATATATATATATATATATATATATATATATATATATATATATATATATATATATATATATATATAAAAAAAAAAATAATCTCTTCCCTGTAATTATTTTCATTCCCTCCTTTATTTAAAATTGGATGTGGTAGAGCTACAAGCATTTGAACTGTGGCCAGCACTACAGGCCCAACTAGAATCAAAATCCCATCAGAAACTCAACATGTCAGAAAAATGGTCCTATCAGTGCTGCGTACTGAGATGTATTAGTTATTGGGCCTAAGACATAAGCTTTTTGATAAACATACAGAAACTCATTCATGAAGTATGTTTTGAAGAACTTGGTGTCTTAAAAAAAAAAAAAAGTTTGATCTGATCCCATGCTCATGGCTTTTTGTATCTGTTTTAAAGAAACTCTTTTTAGCATGGCACCGTCTCGATATCATTGTCATATCTTTAACATTATGTTAGCAAATGTGGCTTGTCAGAAATCAGTTGGGTTAGTTAAGATGGAGACAGTAGATGATGATCCAAGTATAGCTACTGCCTCTGTCATTTGTTGAACTTTTATTTTGTCATAAAGGCTGACAGATGCATAAAGCAAACTGTTTACAAGCAACATACAGTGTCCTAGTTTCAAGCCTGTTTGTCACCTTTTGTAGGTGTGATTCTGAGGGACTCCCATGGTGTGGCCCAGGTACGTTTTGTCACTGGCAACAAGATCCTGAGGATCCTGAAGTCCAAGGGTCTGGCCCCTGACCTGCCCGAGGATCTCTATCACCTCATCAAGAAGGCTGTGGCAGTCAGGAAGCATCTGGAGAGGAACAGAAAGGTATAACAAGACTAGGCCCTGGGTGAAATATTGAGACCATTAATGGTGTTCATGTTAAACCAGTTTTAGAGCGGCATCTGATGTAGCTTCCTGCTGTTACCTGAAGGTTTTGAAAGTGAGATTTTATTGTCAATGCAACACTGTGTACTGTGAGTTGTTTTGATCTGAATGTCCACCTTTTGTGCACCTCTGAGTTAGTAGGTTACAAAGACATGTACTGTAATGTGCAAGTGCCACCAAATGTTTTGCAAACAGGCTGTTTTGAATTTATTTAAATTGACTAGACTGTAAAATCTCAGAAATCCAGTCATAAATTTAGCTTTTGTCTTTTAGTATTAAAGTAAAATGTTCAGGGAATGACATACTAACGAAACCAGATGATGGTGGCATAGGTAATAATTGGGGTTTACATGGGTGGATGCACATATTCAGTAATTAAAATTTTGTTAGACCTCCATTTCCATAACATTTTATTACTGTTCTTGCAGGACAAGGATGCCAAGTTCCGCCTGATTCTCATTGAGAGCAGGATCCACAGGCTGGCCCGTTACTACAAGACCAAGAGAGTACTGGCCCCCAACTGGAAGTAGTACGTATTTTCTGCTTTGGGAATCTTTTTTTTTTTTTTTTTTTGTTATATTTAGGTTGGAAAAAGAATATTGGCCACCAGCCAAATGCTAGTTGTTCTTGTCTGTTTAAAGATAATTTTGTCAACACTTTAAAACCTTTTTTTTTTTTTTTTTAAGAAAAATGTTGACAAAGTTAAACCCGATCGTGTCATTGAGTTGTTACAACCTGTTCCATGTGGGCCTATATGCAAGAATAGATGCACAAATCATTGTCCTGCTCTTCCATTTATTGAGAGTTGTGATATTTCTGTTGTGCTAGAAAAAAACTGGAGGTAAATTAGCAGATTGGCTACTTGGTGCCACCTCTGCCAGTCCCCTTCACACAAAGAAATTATACTTTTTGTTTTCCACTATTTTACATTTTAGTCATTGGACTAAATATTTTGGGTCAATATACTCAGAGCAACATATATAGATTGTTGGTTACAGTGATTTATAATAGTAGAAACCGTTCATTTTCATTCACGTGATATTTATTTTCCTAGCCACATAAATCAGTCCTACAATACTGTGATGCTAATTTTGAGTTCTCCTAATGTTTTTCTCTTTCTGTTTACAGTGAGTCCTCTACAGCTTCTGCTCTGGTGGCATAAACTACACTTTTTGGATTAATAAAACGATTTAAATTGGATTTTGTTGTGTTGTCTTGATTACTAAGTGTTTCACAGGTCTTGTGTTTAAATTATATAATGTAGTTTGTTTTTTTAATTTGGTAAACCATTAGTTTTGGCTTAATGATAGCTTGGACATCGCCTGTATATGGGAATATAAACTTTAAGAAAATAATTGTGGGACAATGAAAATGAAACGCCAGACTTTAAATTACATTTTAATTTTGATTCTGAGAACTTCCTACCGTTTCTTTATCATCCTAATTTCGCTTTTTGACCCTTATTTTTCACGTAATGAACGTGAGGCTATAAAAAGGGCTTTCCTAGTAGTTGAGGAAATTACGGGCACTTTCCATGCGTCAGAAGTTACGTAATTGGAGGGCGGGGTTTGTTACGTGAGGGGCGGGAGGTTTGATGGTTGACAGCCGCTGTGTCCAATCAGAGTGCCGCTTCATGTTAAGGTTGTTTCGTATAAGGGACTGTTGCAATTCCGAGACACTCATCTGCACTACAACGAAGACAACAACACACGACAGAGAAACATGGAGAAAATACCTGAGAACGTTTGACGAAGGAGATCAAAAAATGGCACAAACTTGCCGGAAAATGAAGCGACAGCACATCGACGCATATCTGTCACTGACAAATACGCGAAATCTGTTGGTTTTCGACGAGGAATACCAGAATACGTGAGGGATTTTCTTAATATTACCAACACAATCCGAGGAGAGGAGGGAAAAATGGCTACGGTTGTTGGTCCCGAGAAGGGTTCTGAACGGACGGCGATGGAGAGGTTCGGTAACGGCGGGATGGCGCTTCTGCCTTGGACTAAACAGATGCTCACCGTACTGTGGGAGCAGCTTCGGTTGCTGGTTCAAGTCATATACTACACTTTCGTGTCAGGTAAGAATAAAGTAAAACGTGTTAGTTTGCTGGTCTGGTTTTGTTTATTTGCTTTTTAACGTTAGCCGTTGTGACTTGTTTACGGTTAACGTTACAGACATATGTGTCAATGGGGACATGTCCCCACCACTTTTTGAAATGGCTGATTTTGTCCCGACCACTTCTTTAAAGCATAATTTGTTAAAAAAAAAAAACCTTCTGAAATATAGCTTGCAGTTAAATCACAAATGACGTTAGAAACAATGTGCATTGTTCAAAAAAGGAACTTAAGCTTAAAAAATCAACAACAACAAGCTACTGGTTATAAAATGACCCAAAAATGACATTTAACAACTTCTTGACACTGTTTCTTTTTGGCCAAGTTTTCCGTACTACCTATATCTCTGCATTGAGGATATCTTTAAAACAATATTTAAGGATCTTTTCGTCACGTTCTCGTGAACATAATATCGCGTATGGTGATGTCTGAAGTGTCTCTTCACACCCCTAATCTGAGCCCCTATGTCCCCACCACTTTTCAACACAAAGTGACGCCCTTGGTTACAGAGACTGTTGAGTCGCTGTACTTTTTTTATTAGTGTCTTTAACGACATACCCAAAATTCACAACTCCAACTCTATTATAACACTCCTTTTGAATAATATCGTTAAAGGTCAAAGTAGCTGTTCGATGTGCCCATTTATCTATTTTCAGACGAAGTACGTCCTAATCTAGTTATTGTTTGATACTTGATTTGCTATCACAGTAATATATACCCTGTGAAGTCCCTGTGGTATTCTATTGTGTATTTATATATTGTAGAATTGTTAGGATATATATATATATATAGTGACCAATTCTAATGTAAGAATTAACAGGTCAAAGCAAGTATGATGTCATGTTAACATGTATTAAAGTACACTTTTGGATTAACTAAAAATGAGACAAAGGTATTTCTGATTTCAAATGCCAATGTGATGATCATCAGTTTATGGGTATTGTATGTATTTATATCAAAGTGAACTTCTGATTGCAATTAGCTTTCTTTCCATATCACCCAGCCTTATGATGAGCCGTTAATCAAAAGACAGCTTTTTGCCTATTTAAAATAAGCAGCAAACAGAGAAGCAAACGCATTGTGTTGTTTTTTTAATATTGTTTTTTCATGTCACGATGACCTGGAATAGATCATAATTACGTATAATTCAACTCGTTCCCACTCTTAACACTTTTCTCCTACTTTTCCAGTTTTCCAGATGTTCAGGTTTGAGGTTCATGTGAGAATCACAGACGAGACAGGTCAGCACATCCAGCACATGAGCACAGCTTCCAACCCAACTGAATCCTTCCTGTTCACCTCGTTGTTTGACGGAGAAAACGGAGTGATGGTTGGCGGTTCGAATCCCCTCTCTAACTTCTGTGCTGAAGTCGGCGACCCTTTCGCTGGGAAATCCACCGCCGAGGCCCTGCTGTCCACACTGCGTGCTGACGACCTGTGCTGCGGACTAGTGGATGATTTTGTGTCCAGAACATCGGGCAAAGAAGACGGCATCTTTCTGGGACACCAATCCAGCTGGAAAATGGGCTTCCCTGGTGACTGGAACATCTTTGTATCAAGCAGCGAAAGCTCTAGTTCAAATGACGCCTGCAAACAGGATATTTCAATGGAAAAAGTTTTCAAACAGGACACTTCAGAAGAGGAGAGAAGCTCTCACTGGAGTAGCGAGGAAGATCAGAACGGAGTTGAATTTGACAGCGAGGAAAGTAAGGCGCTTTGGGAGTCTCTGTCAAAATCTAGTGATCCATACAACCCCTTCTTTTTCTCTGCTTGCATTTCAACAAACGCAAACATGGGGAAAAATAAAAGTGAAGCGAAGGACTGCAGTGATACTGACCTCATGTCAGTGAGCAAGGTCAGCGACGAGATGTTGGGGCCTCCAGGCCTGAATATCTGGGTTAATCGCTCTGACAGCGAGAGCAGTTGGAGCAGTTGGGCCAGTTCAGACGGTTCGAGCCCCGACATTGACAAGGAGGAGAGCGAGAGGCTCTTAGAGTTCTTCAGCAGTCCTGACCCCTACAATCCCATGTGCTTCACTGCGTGCACAGTCAGCAGCACGTTGCCTCAAACCACCACTACAGTCTCTAAACAACAGGCCTCACTTCCTGCCCCCTCCTCCAAGTCAGACACAGACACTGATGAGAAGGAGAATAGCTTTCCGCCTTCGTCTGAGGATGAAGAAGAGCAGCTGTGGAAATCTCTCAGCCTAAAGGACGACCCGTACCACCCTCTCAACTTTCAGGCCTGCCTCCAGAGCCCCCCAACAACAACAATCCAGTCTGGAAAAGGTCCCGATATCCTTGATGTTCACCACACAAATAATCTACCCGCGAAGGGCAAGAAATGTGAAAAAGAGTCAAAAACACCCCGAAAATCCAGAGCCACCAAGCCCCTTCTGCCAGAGAGGCAGTTAAAGCATCACTCCCATCTAGACAAAACACTGGTTCCCTGGAAAAGACTTGCACAAACACCTCAGCCACTGCCAGAGGAGACGAAGAAGAGCAAGGCCAGCACCACCCAAAAAAAGGTCATTGTCTAATAATATATTATGGTTAAACTGCCAGACAGGATTAGATGAAGCATTAAAACCCCATGTGGGGTTTGAAATACATATAGTCTACTCTGTAAATACTACAGAGTATTGATATGGGCTTTGATACATCAAGACAAAAGGTTAAATATGCCACCAACTATTCCTCTTTATTCCACTGTAGACTAAATACTTTAAAAGTAATATGAGCCAAGTCCAATCCAAATTTTTAAAAAGCACATTTAAAAACAACAGATGATCAAAGTACAGTTAAAAAAAAAAATAGCAAAGACCAGGTTAAAAGACAAAAGCACAATAACATAATAATAGTTATAAGACCATAAGCGGAAGAAACAAAAAATACAGTTGCCTTTAGGTAGATGATACTTTTCCCAGCTCATTTTCATTTGGTTCAAGTAGATACAGAGAGCATGTGATCCCTTATTTTAAGTTAACACTTTTAATATCAAGGCAGTGTCTTCTGCTGATTGTTGCACCTTCTTGAGAGACAGAATATCTAAGATAAATGTTATTTCTTGCCTCAGCAGACACAAACTTTACTGCACAGTGTGATCGGATGAGTTGTTGTTTGTTGTCGGTTAGCAACGCCACTGGTTGTCATGACTAAGCCAGTCATGTGACTCCCATGAGTCAGCAGGGAGTTTGACTTACTCATGAATTAAATGTAGTTGCAATAGAATTGCAAAGTAATTTTGAATACCTCGTGAATTAATGCCCTGTTACATCAAACTCAAAAAATAAAGGGTCAGGTAGAAAAATAAGTCAGTCATATTGTGATTACACGCCTGTCTAAAAACTCCCTGTTGGGGAAAATACATGGTCTTTAATGGGTATTTTTATTTTTTATTTGTATTGGTATTTAAGGTGTATAGGGTATCTATTTAGTGACTTGTATTTGAAGTTTAGATATCCATTAACTTGCATCAGTAGCAGGATATTCCCCTAAAAGAAGCACATAAACATCACATGGCCATCGGTATCGTTTGAACACAATATATTCAATTCCTTTCTTTTGGCTTTCAGGTGCGATTTTCTCCTCTTGTCCAAGTCCACGTCATGCGGACCTGGCTGTTTGCTCGACAGGCGTCTCGTAAAGGACACTGGGAAGAAATGGCGCGAGACCGGGACCGCTTCCGGAGGCGGATTCAGGACACAGAGCAGGCCATTGGCCACTGCTTCACTCAGCCCCACAGAGAAAGGATCCGGGCGTATCTGGATGGTGCCTTGAAGTAAATAAAAGTCTTGAACACTGAATGTTTTATTTCCTTTTTGGATGAGAACTTGTGATTGGTTGCAATGCAACAGTGATTTTGATTTAGGCCAATTAGAAATTTGATGTTAGGCCAACTTTAATGTTTGGTGTCAAGTTGAACAACCTTGTACCTCAAAAGGTTTTATACATTGTGACTGTTGCACTGACTGACACTTTCTCATATTAACCTCAGCATCAACGTGTGGAATGTTGTTTTTGTATGCCTTATATACTGACCTAGTAATGTAACTTATTTATGCCCTATGGAGCTTGTCATTTGATTTTTACCTCCCTTTTTTTGGACTGTTTTTATGTGTTTTTATATGTGTGAAAAAACTACAGTGGTGAATCTAGAAGTTAAAAGTAGATGATGATGATGATGATATCATAAGAAAGCTTTTGCTTTACAGTACAAAGTGTTGAAAAGATTAGTTTAAGCATGATGGGTAATATTCATTTATGGTGCAATTCTTGTGTTATTGTTAAATATTTTAGTTTTTGATATTTAAGTTTTGTCTTGTGTTTTCCTATTTGAAGTCACATCTTAGCTGCCTTTTAGCACTGAGCGTGCAGATGGATGTCTATTATTATATTGACTAGAAAGATTAAAACACTTTGTGCTGTGTGACTTACTCAGCTTCTCAAGGTAAAATCATGTAGCCGAAAATATGACAAAAAATCTTCTGTAGCAAATTTGCCATTTGGTGCTTTGTCAAATCAATAAAATTTGTTACACTGTCATTGTTCTCAGTTTTGGCTGTTTGGGCCTTGTGGCTCAAAGACAGGTGAGACACAGGAGTTGTAACTCATTCTACTTAACTAAAAGAAAAAGCCTAACATACAGACAGAATGTTTAATAACATAAACTGGTCATGCTTGTTTACGTAAATTACTTCTCCATCTGCCATTTCCTGATGTGACAGTGAAGTGGAGACAGTACACAATGTCCCAGAAATATGTAAACAACACACCCGAGGTCAGCTTTCTCAGTGGTTGTTTTTTTTTTAAATAGAAAGTACATGCAAAACTGCACGTATCAGCTGTGTCAGCCATTTGTGGGGACATTCTTGGGAAATGTCCTTACAAAGTGAAGAAATAGTGAGATAAAATAAATTCAAATGTTTTTAGAAAATCAAATGTTGCAGAAAGTTATTTTTTAATTCAATGGGGCTTTATCGGCATGGGAAACAGATGTTTATATTGACAAAACAAATGTGAAATAAAAATGTACATAAACATAAGAATTGTGATTTTATGTATTTTCTTTTATATGTGCGTCACAACCACAGTCTGGCTTCAGTTCCCAAAACAGCAGAAACATGCAGAACAGTGTTGCCTGTCAGGTGATCTGAAGAAAGATAATACAAGCAACACAACACAATGGAGCACGCTCAGCCTCACTATGTTCAAACAGAAGGTTTAAGCTTTCATTCAGTTTGGACACACCCAGTGTGTTCTGTCAGTGGGAGGTTTCCAACACACCTGTGTGTGACTTCTGCCTGTGGTGAGACTGCATAACCTGGTTGGCTTTTTTAGTATTTTATGCACACTGCCCCATACCTTACAAGTAAGCATTGATTTGGTGATTTAGCAAGATGCCAACTTTAAAACCTGGCTAATTTTGGATTGACACTATTTCAACACCATGTCAGTGGCTCCGCCTGTAGTTAGGACCCTGAAATGTAGTCATGTAGTTGGTGCTGTTCAAACAACAGTTATATTTTCTAGGATTTCAACAATATTTAGCCCAGTTTGAATCTGAATGTCTAGAAGTGTTATACCTACAAAAATACATAGTTGTGTACTGTTTCTTTTGCAGTTTTCATGTCTGCAGTGAGTAGAAATCATTAAAATTATTCTCTGTACATGTGTTATTGCTTTATTCATCCATCCTAACCCATCCTTGCCTCATTTTTAGGGCACCTTCATCGTTTACGTCTCGTGCTCTCTCTCTCTTTCCCTGTCCACACACACACACACTCAGAAGCTTATGATTTCCCTGTTGGGCTGTGAGTCTCCTGCAGACAGACTGCTGTAAGGCTGTCGTAAGACAAGGGTTAAAAACACCAAGTATGATGAAATGACTTTCCAGAGGACTGAAATCAATTAGCAGGTCTCCGATGCTCCTCCTGCACACATACACAGAGAGATGGTGCAAAGGTGAGCAATAGCTGACAGTGTTGCTGCATCAACCCAGCAGTGGATCTTTTGCTGATGTTGTCCCATCGCCCCTCCCTCCCACATGTGGTGAATGTTATCGATCTCCTGCTGGTCTTGCACACCGAAAAATTAAGCTTCTTTTGTTTAGGTTAGTGGTTCGAAATTGAGCCAAAAAATCTGAAAGACCCTTTCATTTTTTAAAAATATGTGAAAAGAGTTCAGTTTGGTTATGTTTTAATTTTAATTACCAGAAGCATTTTATAAATTCCACAGCAATATGGAGGGTGTATGTGGAACCCCTCGAGCTTTAAAAAACCTTGCAATGGTAAACTGGTTTTATTTAAAGTAAACTGAGAATACCTACATCCAATGTTGAACCAATCAATATAGCCCAGTCCAGAAAATAAAAATCAAGCCATGACAAAAAAGGAAATATCCAGAATTTAAAAGAAACACAAAAATGTATTATGTTTATTGTTTAAAAGATAAACATAATTTAAAAAAAATTGTGTGTGTGTGTGGGGGGGGGGGTAGTTTTCCCTCATTTGAACCAAAAGTCTTTGGATAGAAGGAGCGATTTTTGGCTTTATGGATACATTAGATACATGACTTTGATTTTTACTAGCTTTTTACAGGAGTATAAGCTAGTAACCTGACCTGGTGACATTAGCTGTGAGCTGAGAAGTGAAAAACAAACTCTAATATTTATTTTTCTTTGGTGTGTGAGGACGGGACGATGGGTGGTTGTATTTGTCTGTCTGATCTCCCTCTGTCTGCAATCCCTGTTTCTGATTTTGCTGTTAGTGAAAGCACCACATGGTGCTTTTATCCAGAGCTGGCTCACAGTGAGTGAGCAGCCGAAGGTTCAGAGTCCTGCTTAAGGGCACTTCAAAAGGACACAAATCAGAAGCGAATGAACATAATGTGAGTCCCAGTTAAAGGACGAGCACGCCACCTTCTCCTCAATTATCGCTCCTACTCTCCCCCTCCCCTTCTCCTTTTTGATACCACTCCTCTCTTTGTATCTTTGTCTCCATCTTCCTCCTCCTCATCCTCTCCCAGTATCATTAGCTCTGTGGCCTAGACGACCCCGTCTCCAGGCAACCAGCAGGAGTGGCGAGGCGTTGAAAGGATTGCAGGTGATTGCAGCAGCAGTAGCTGCAGAGGCAGTGGGTTTTCAGGCGCGCACACACACCCACATGTGGTTGCCCCTCTCACTCGCCTGCCAGTGAAGGGTATCTCCTGGGTCACAATTAGCTGATGATGCAACCTACCAGCAGCTATTGTGTCTGCACCAACTCACACGGACAAACTGCATGAAATGCAAATGGAAACAAAGCTAATCTTCCTCTATACACAAAATACCAGAAATAAGCCCTTAATCATACATAATGCATTTTATACAATATCTAATGATTTAAAAATGATTTAAACATGCATACGTATATTTAACATGCAAACTTTCCCTTCATGAAGTACATCAAATTCTATCCCATGCTTATTTATGCATTTAGATATTCACAGGGGACCAATGCTTTCACTTAAATTCACATGGTCTGGCTCAGTGATTAACAAAGTGGACTTAAATGTCCCTTGTGGGGCCTTGTAGTAGCCCCAGATGCTCTCAGCAAAACAAGGAATGATTTGCTTTCACTTTAAGAGAATAAAAAAAAAACAATTTTAAGAATCACTATCATCATCATGCTGAACATTATTACAGTGTGCTCCTATACATGCAACTCATACCACTCATTATGATGTAGACCATATGACTAGCAAGTGACAAACACTTATCTATTCCAACATGTGCTCCTGTAGATTAGTGTCTGACCAACACCCAGACAGACTAAACACAGAGTAGTTGCTGCTCAGTGTATTTTTATCAGTGTTGAATTTGAGTGGGTGTAGTGTTTCATTTGAGCCACTGGGGGACACGCCTCTACTCTGGTACGTGACCTTTTTATATACAGTCTATGTACGTGACACAACACACACACAATGGTTACTCAGGGATGACACCAAGAAAAAGGCCACACAGAGTGCAATAATTCTGTTTTTAGTCAAAATTGTTATATTCTGGTTAAAACAGTAAAAGGAGTCACTGTCTAAAATGTAACCTGTTTTTAGTCAGAATTGTTATATTCTGGTTAAAACAGTAAAAGGTGTCACGGTCTAAAATTTGAACAGCTAATAGGTCAAACAATAACTGCCTTAAACCCTTCATTACAAGTGGTATCAAAAGCTGATATTTGTTTCAAGCTTTATTGAAATTTTTTGTCCGTAACTCTGGTACGTGACACAACACACACACTATGATTACTCAGGGATGACACCAAGAAAAAGGCCACACAGAGTGCAATAATTCTGTTTTTAGTCAGAATTGTTATATTTTGGTTAAAACAGTAAAAGGAGTCACTGTCTAAAATGTGAACAGCTAATAGGTCAAACAATAATTGCCTTAAACCCTTCATTACAAGTGGTATCAAAAGCTGATATTTGTTTCAAGCTTTATTGAAATTTTTTGTCCGTAACTCTGGTACGTGACACAACACACACACTATGGTTACTCAGGGATGACACCAAGAAAAAGGCCACACAGAGTGCAATAATTCTGTTTTTAGTCAGAATTGTTATATTCTGGTTAAAACAGTAAAAGGAGTCACTGTCTAAAATGTGAACAGCTAATAGGTCAAACAATAACTGCCTTAAACCCTTCATTACAAGTGGTATCAAAAACTGATATTTGTTTCAAGCTTTATTGAAATTTATATCAATAGTGATATAACAGATGATTTAAAAACATATAGACCAGGCCTAGACCGATTAGCTGCCTTTGTTAGGACTGCAGTCACTCTTGAAAATGGAAACAGGCGAGTTGTTGTTGTCTTTGAGATTAGTGCAGTCCCCAAACTTCATTTAAACACCTCTGTTTTTTGTAACAGTATATGTGACGTATTTGGAGCTTCCTTCCATACCCAGAGGACCATATTTGAACATGCAGTTTCATCTGTATCTCAGACAATTAAGAAGAAAACTGTCCAGCCACTGAGCAACTGTGTAACACTGCTGCCCTCATGTGGTAAAACTTACAACAGCAAGGCCTAAAGAAAAGGTCTTGAGTCATTTTGTGTACATTTGTACCTTAAATTCAGACCTTAGATTACAGAGAAAAAAGGTAGAAGCAGCTCAAGAGAAGTGAGTCGGTAGAAAAGTAGATAGCTATTTCTTCTACAAGAGGAAATCCATACAAAAGCTTAGCCTTTTCTTCATATAAATCAAAATTAATTTTACAATTTGTACAATAGCTTCAGCAGCCATAGATCTTCTTGTGTGTTGGATATTATATGACAATAAAATTCAATCAGCTTCAATGGCACAAACTCTACTCTGTGTATGCCTAGTTTTCTGTACTGAAAAGGGGGAAAAACACGTTTTAAGAAGGCCCCCAAAAATCGTGTAAACAGGAAAATCATCTTAGTTCAGCGGATTAAAACAGAACAATTACACTGTAATCCAATCCTCTAAGCTGCTTTTGGGGATTCCCCGCTCTGATCCGGCTGATGGACCAGCGTCTGACTGAC